GCAAGGCGTCGTAGCATAACACACAAGCCTGAAATATATGGAAAGGACCCATAAAATTATTATCAATTACAAGTGTAATTATTATGTCAGGAAAGCTCACAAATTAGTCCGCTGAATTCTGTCCTATTAGGCATTTTTAACACATCTGGAACCCGTAACTCTGATTTCAATCGCAAAATGTCCGCTTTTTCAAATCTAAAATCCAACTTGAAACGAGAAACCTCGATTTCATCAAAACAGAAAAGTGTAGATTTGTTAAATTTGTTAATCCGCTTTGCTGCAGCAGCCAACAAAAAGGCATCACAATCACCAGTGAGCACACCCAATTTAATTAAACTTGAACTTAAGGTGGACATTTTACTGTCTGTCACTTTTGGACTTGTAAACAATTGTTTATAATTTCAAATCTGCCAGCAGAAATTAATCAGAACTACAATCCTCCCATAAAATATTCTCGCTCAACCTCCGAAAGGTACAATCCAGGATTTTGATTGTGATTCTAAACTACAGTGAATTTTTTACAATCATGTACTCTCGCTCAACGTCTCTATTGACCCCGCGAAAGATTGATCCCATGTCATATTGACCCCGCGAAAGATTGACCCCCGGCAACTATTAGTTAATACACAAATAAATAGGTATGTCCCATGGACATTGTCCACTATCGTACCATACGCATGTTCAATCATAATTTTGTTGACAAATTGTTATATTTTTAGCCCGAGTCAGGGCTTTTGGAACCGTCATGTCCGTCCGTCTGTCTGTCTGTCTGTCCGGCACGATAGAGCCAAAACGGCTGAACCGATTGACTTGAAATTTTTACCATATGCATATTGAGCAAAGTTAGGAAACGAGTTCGAAGATGGGCGAAATCGGTCCAGTGGTTGACCGGTGAGGGTCATCGGAGTGGGTGAGGTATAATGCACCAAAATTTCAAAATTATCGTAGAGAGCTGAAATTTAGTACAGAGGTTGCTAATGGCTTATAATGCACAAAAACTCAAGTTGGAAAAATTCAAGTTAGAAAAATTGTTATCTTGAGGGACCTGATGAGGTGACCCATACTGATTTTTTAAAAATCATCATATCAAACTGAAATTTGGTAGAGATGTTGCTTATAGGTCCCATTGGAAGAATATGAAAAGAAATTGGTAAAATTTGTATCTGGAGCGACCCTATGGGGTGACCCATACCGATTTTTAGAAATTGCTTTAAAAAGATGAAATCGGAAAGGTAATACTTAATGGCTTCTCATTATAGAATATGAAGTTAAAAGTGAGCAAAATGTAACCAGAGTGACTCTGAAGGCTGACCCATACCGTTTTTAAACGTTGTTATTTCCATCTGAAATTTGGTATGGGTGATAAAAACCACTTCTGGATAGCACACCCAGCTTTGAAAGTTCAAGATGTTAAGGGATTTGATGCCAAATAAACCGTAGTAACGTTAGAAGTAGCTGACCCTGCAATATAAATTAGGATGTATATAATTTTGCACCAGTGGTGCCGCATAAGTGCACAAAATAAGTATAAAACTCTATAGTTTGGTTCCAATGGTGCATTATAATCGGAATATGTAAGTGTAGAATTTTGAGATTTTTTGCATCAATAGTGTAGAATAAGGCGACAAAATAAGGTTCATAATGATTTAGACATAACTTTGCACCAAAGGTGCGGAATAAGCCGACAAAAGAGATCATAATTTTTATATATTCTTGCACCAAGGGTGCAATATAAACGGAAAAAAGAAGAAAAGGCCGAATTAGTATGCACCACCTGCGCAGTATGAGAGACCAAGGGCCATTTTTAACTTTGAAAACTTTATGTCCAAATTGTAGGATTATCTTTTCTGGATATTCTGCACTATTGGTGCGTTTTACATCGCTTCCCCCAATTATTTCGCATCATTTGGTGTTTCCGATTGTCAGATACCAACGGTGCTATAAATTTATGAAAAAATGGAGCAGGGACATTTTAATTAGCATCAATTGATGCAAAAAGGTCGTTAACAGACAGACGGACAGGAGGAATTCAATAGCTCTCATGCTACGCAGGGTGAGCTAATAATAGAAAATCTAACAAATATGACTCGGGCTATATGAAGTCTGCACTGTAGGTTCTTTAGCTTAAAATGATGATAAAAATAGGTTAAGAAATTTCCACATTAACAATTAAAATATTACATTATGTATGTATACTTTTGAGTGGAATACATGTTTTAGACTTACATTTTAAATAGGAAATAAAATTAACTATTTGTGTGCAAATACATTAAGTAGTACCTGTATCTATGGCCTGGGGTCAATCTGTCGCGGGGTCAATATGGCGTGGGGTCAATCTGTCGCGGGGTCAATATGGCGTGGGGTCAATCTGTCGCGGGGTCAATATGACATGGGGTCAATCTGTCGCGGGGTCAATATGACCGGGGAAATCTGTCGCGGGGAAATCTGACGGGGTCAATTTGACGCCCTACCTAAATGGACAGATTCAAAATCATTCCATAACTACTCTCCTTGCATTCTTGTTTATAATGTAAAATCTAAGTTAGATAATTTGATATTACCAAATTGGCAGTAAAACGTGTTTCGCCTTATCATAATTTGACACAATTGTATACCAGTTATCACTGATCACTTATAAGTGTGTACATTGTATCAAATTTCACTATGAATTTCAACGGGGTGGAGATGAATTTGATTTTCGGTTGTTACCGAAAATCCAATTTACCGAATGTTACCGAAAAGTATGATTTGTTAATCGTACTCACTCGGTTACAATTTGGTTACCGCATTATTTAGTGAACTCATTGAATTACTCACAAATTCTTGTCCACAATGTCCAGATTTAGTTGGGTAAGGATGAGGAAGCGGGGAGCGTAATTAGTCCGCTTTCTCCTCACCGAGCAAAACGACCAACTTTTCGTCATCATCATTATTTAGTGCACATTTCACTTTACGACGCGAGACAGCCCGTTCCCCAAACAAGGATGAAAACAGGACCGAGAACAAACCACGACGAAGAATAAAACCGAATTGGATTGGGTCCGATTACTGGTCAAGCTATAAATAAAATGGGATCGTTTCATTAGTATTATTGTTTTCGGGTGGCAGTGAAAATTTCCCGGGTTCGAAAATTGCTTCTTCTTTTTAAAATAGACATATGCAATGAAATACTGTCTTTTGGTGAACTATTTTGATGTATTTTTAAAAACTTTGAACTTGAGAGTTAAATCTATTGGCATATATTTCAAAATTTTGTCAGCATTCTGAATACGACGGGACGTTATCTGACATGCAATTTTACCAGGAGAAGCAAGATTCAAAAATTGTACCAGATTTAGATAAGTGCTTCATTTTCACAATTTTCAGTCTCCTTTTCACGTTAGAAAAAAAACGTCCAGGAAATATTTTCATTTCAGAGGAGAAAAAAATATCCAGTCTGAGCAATTAAATTACAAAATTTCAACTTTCTGTTGCCCAAATTAAAAAAAATCAAATCAATCGCATTTTCTGGATTATGTTTTTTTTGTAAGAATTGCCTTAATTTTTAGTACGCAAATATATTTCGATTGCAAACTGTGACGTCGATTTCGGATATTTCGATTGCAAACTGTGACGTCGATTTCGGATAAATTAATAATCAAATCTTTCTACAAGTATAATGCTTTAGGTGGAAGATCTCCCAATCAGTAATCCCAAGTACAAATTAGTTGTATTTTGTAATGTTTCCAATTTTTAAATCGATCAACATATTAATTCTTAAGAATTTATGGCGTTAGATCAATTATTGCAAGAGAAGGAAAGTTACAATATTTGGATTAAATCGAAAGATATCCAAAAATTCGTGGAATTTTGATTTGTACAATTTCAATTTTAAATTACCCAAATCGACAGATTCACAATGAGCGGTCAGCACACGGTAATAAATCCCTAGACCAGATCCTTCCCGTACACTAGGTTATTAAGCAAGCCGAGCATTGTAAATAATTTAGTCATCAAAAACCATGTTGTCACTTAAATAATGTCGAAAAAAACTGCAATATCTGGCCAAATCTATTGTATTTTTAGGCACCCTGTTCCATGGTTGACTTCATGTCGTGATTTCTTTCAGCTGACCTGACCAGACCAACCCTATAACGGGGCTATTTTGCTAACGGGGAAAGTTGTATGCATTATTCACTCACTTACTTGGTCATGCACTTCTTGTTACTTACCTGGCTCCTGTTTTGCTACGTATCAAACTCACGTTTTGTGCCGTGACGAGGCAAAACTTTGAGAAATTCTCACTCACCGTAAAATAACAATTATACAAACTAAACTGCTGACTAATCTGTAATTAATTGGGCTTTCTTATCCCTTTCGCCACTAAATACACAATTCTAATCCGCACGAAACCATTTCCTTGAACAGAAACCATTTCCTCCGATGCGACGCGATTATGTTGGACCTCGTGACTAATTTCTATTTACGACGTATTAAACCTTAATAATTCTGACAAAGTCGGACGGATGAAATGAAATTTAATCGGGGAGACGGTGAGTTTAATAAGTTTGGGATAAGGCAAGTCTGCAGAATTTGTCGGCACACTGCAAATAAACTGGTGTCAATTCCGCGCGGTGTAGTCACATATAGACACCACGCGGTGTTAATTGCCCGTATTAACGCCGCGTGGTGTCTATATGTGACTACACCGCGCGGAATTGACACCAGTTTATTTGCAGTGCAGTATGAATGAAGATGAAAGTTTGGAAAGAAAACAAAATAAGGCATGGATTTTAAAATTTAAGGAAAATCGATTGATTGATTGATTGATTTGTAATTTATATAATTAATGGCCTATTTGCTGCATTATTTCAATTTTTTAGCAACTTCTTTAAACCTAAAATTAATTCGGTTGGTCCCAAGAAATAATGCAAAAATTATCAAATGGGACTGAAACCTAACAATTTCAGAAATACCTATAAAGTTGTTAAACTAACATATTATTACACTCTCGAAAAAATTGTGCACCACTAGTTGATTAAAAAAAAGTTGATAAAATTTTCTACAACGTTGGACAAAATTTTTACTCCACAGACTTGAAATTTACACAACAACGTTGTGTAATGTTTGCTTTGGTCAACCTTGCGCAAAACTTGATATTTTTGTTGACTAAATCTAATTTTCATCATTATTGGGCAATTAGTTCCCAAAAGTTGAATAATTTTTACTCAACACTTGTAAAAGAATTGGCTTTTTGAAGGTAGTGTAAAATTCAGCCAACTTTCAGTTTACTTTTTACACAATAGTTGTGTAAAGTTTACTCTCGCGACGTCGCGTCTCAAAAGCAGCGTGGATGGCGCCACTTATATACTGACGGTTGACGAAAGGATTGTCAGGAAATTAAATCCTTTCTCTTTTCCTGTAATTTTCCACCAAAATGACCGAAAATTTGGAAAAAGCTTTAAAAAATACCGGATTAATCCAATATAAGGACAAGTTCCAAGGTAAAGTAGCTTTGGTTAATTGTTGATAACTTTGATTGATTGATTTTATTTACCTAAGTTAAATATTACTACCTTTAATATTTTTTTTGCAATTATTTTTTATAGAGAACGATGTCGACGACACAATCTTCTTCAAGTTGTTGGATAGTGCCGCTGGGTCAGTGGAAGAACGTTTGTTGGCAGAAATAATTCCGTCCGTTGGTCACCGATTTAAATTAATTTCAGCTGGTAGAGAGGTAAGCAGGTCAAGGTTAGAATTAGGTCAGGTTATCTCACTAGACTTTGCCTGTAGTATTTGCGGAAGTACTTTTAATTCCTTTCAAGTATATTGGAATCACATTAGAGAATTTCACGAAATAAAGAAAGGAAAAGCTAGATTAAATTGTCCTTTGTGTACAATGATTTTCACAGACTCGGAAAATCTTCAAAAACATGTCAACAGAAAAGTTTGTCCAGTATTTCAAAAAATTTCAATTAAGTTTCCCCAGATTTCCCCTAATGAAGAGAATGGAATGGGAAGAAATATTGAGCAAGAATTATTTTCACCTGAGGTCATTCGTGAAATCCATGAGGATTACAAGTTGGCTTTTATAAAATCATTACAAATGTCAGGTGGAATTTCATTATCAAAATCAAATGAAATTTTAATGGCTGCTAATTCATTAGTAAATAGTATAATTGCAGTTGCCACAAACTTTTCTGTCAATAATACAAGTCAGGATCAACTTTTAACCCACCTTAATAGTTTAAAAAATCCATTTCCAAAAAATAGTTCATCCCAATATAAACTGGAAAAACTTTTAAAAGAACGATCTTTATTAGTCGAAGCAAAGGAAATAAAATTAGGGTCTCACTTTAAATTCGACAAAATTAAAGGAATGATGCAAGAAAAAATTGACAACGCTTACCATTTTCAATTATCTGAAACTCTACCGACAATTCTATCGAAATATTACAAAGTGGCAGATAGTATACAAGTAAATTCAAGTTCAGAATATTTTGAGAACTTTAAGGTTCTCAGGTTCACATTACAATAATTTCAAAAACAATCCTCTTTGCTTGCAGATTTATTACGATGATTTTTACGAAATTTGTAACCCGTTGGGATCGAAAGCTAAAATACACAAACTCGCGATGTTTTATTTTATTATAGCCAATTTTCCTAACCATTCAAATCGCAAACTTGAAAATATTTTTCCACTTATAGTTGTTAAATCCAAATTTGTAAAAGAATACGGAATGAATTTAATTTTACAACCATTGGTTTATGAATTAAACTCGCTGCATGAAAATTCTCAAAGACTAAGCTTTTTAGAAAACACTCCTTTTAGTCATATTCAAGTTCTCCAGTTCTGTGGCGATAATTTAGGGATGCATACAATTTTTGGCTTTGCTGAAAGTTTTAATGCGAATTTCAGATGTCGTTTTTGTAAACTAGATAGGGAACAAACTTTCACAGCTATTGAGGAGTCGGTAAATAGAAGGCGAAATTTAGAAAATTATGAAAGGGATTTAGAAGTTGGAAACGTTAGTTTGACGGGAATTAGAGAAAGGTCAATTTTAAATGATATTAAAGGATTTAATGTTACAAATAATTTTGCCCCTGATATTATGCATGATATTTTGGAAGGAATTTGTGTCACTGAATTGAAGTTGTTTCTGAAACATGTTACTCAAAATCGTATTTTATCAGTTAGTGAGATTAACCACAGGCTATCGTCTTCTTTCAACAAGAATGGTCATGCAATATCAAAGTTTCCAGAAATAGATATTGCTTTTATTAATGGGGAGAGAAAATCTTGTTTTTCTGCATCAGAGACAAGCCATTTTTTCCTAATTTTTCCTGCAATATTTGGAGATAAGTTCAGCTTGTCGAATAAGCACTGGGATTTAGTTTTAAAACTTCTTCGAAGTTATTTAATAGCTGAGCATCATCAGGCCTTCATTAGTTTGACAAATAATAATTTAACGCCAAAGTTTCATCATTTACTACATTATGCTCACGCCATAGAGCAGTTAGGCCCGTTGAAACAATACTGGTGTATGCGATTTGAGGGAAAACATCGTCTTGCTAAAACAATTGGAAAAAATTGTTATAATTTTAGCAACATTGCAAAAACAGTTTCAAAAAGAATGTCACTTAACTTGGCATTTTTAGTTGGATGCGAAATAGAGGGGGATATAACTTACAAATCTGGCTCACTAATTGCATTTAAGGATATGAAAATATCTTTTGACTTTTCCAAACTTTCCAAAAATGAGTTGGACGAGGTGCTTTGTGTTGACTCGGTGACCGCCAAGGGTACCAAAATCAAACCCAATAATTATTTCATTTTGAAGGTCCCATCACTTAGTTCACAATTTTGTCAAATTATCATGTGTCTAGTTCACAATAGCAAAGTTCATTTAGTTGTCAGGCCGGTAAAATGTGAGGAACATTTTAGTTATTCGTACGTGTTTAAAATAATTGACTTTGATAATGCGTTATTAGTGGACTTGGACGCCATAGATTTGGAGTATCCATTAGTAATTATGAATAATATTGAAGACCCGCAAGGTCATGGGTTCATTTGTTGTCCCATTGAGTTAATCTGAACAAAGTTTTGACTCTATGTACATATGTAGGCTAAAATAGTGTTTAATCTTAAAATAAGTAGATTTTTTACGCATATATTTAGTTAGATAAGCAGACTTTTGAAACTGACCAGCGAGCACTAGGAGATATGCCGGACGTTATTTTGGTAAAACTATTACTAATTTTATGTTAAACTCTTGCGAATTATGCAATTCTGTAAAATCGTCTTAAATCTACATATGTTTTTTTACAGGGCAATTCCAGCGATATTGATTCCGGAAGTCGACACCGTCTTCCTAACGAGAGTGGACCGGAAGTTGAAATTTCGTTTTTATCTTTCGATCCCCTATTCGTAAGTAGATAGGATTGTAATACAATTTTAATTGTGATAATAGGTATTTAATTATAAGTTTCTGTAAATTAGGATATTAAGCAAATCATCTTAAGTTCTGACCAGGAAAAGGGGACAAAAAAGGGAGAGAAAATCTTGCAAGAATGTTTGGAATCCAACGCCATCACATTTGAAGTAAAAAGTCTGATTAAACGACGAATTGTTAATTATCTTGTGAAGCAATATACTTATTTGTAAGCTAAATTTATAAAATAATTAATGAATTAATAATCTACATTGTGATTAAGTTTTTTTGAACATTTGTATAGTCCGCCCAAAAACGTAAAGCAAAACTTGGCAGAATGTGTAGCAGCACAACTTTTTCAAAACTTAAGGCTTGAGCAACAGAGAGACATTGTGGTACTTAAATATAAAAACTAACTAATTTCCTAGCCGTTTTTAATTATTTTTAATTGTTTTTTTACAGAATCTTTTTTACCGCGAGTCCCGGATAATTAATTATAAATCAGATCTTCATAAACGAACTCCTGCGTCAGGATTACTTGAAGATCGATTGAAATATTTAAGGAGGAAGCACCAATGTGGGAGGGCAAGTATTCCCAAGGTTGTTAGCAGTTTAATGTCGGAAAGTATGTATTTTCTTTTGTTACTAATTGTGATAAAAAGACGCTAAAATCTATTTTTTATAATTAAAGGTCCCTGGGAGAATGAACAGGAAAAAAAGTCGTGGCTTTGCTACTCATCTACTCCCTTTGATCAAGTTGCCGAATATATGGCGCAGACCTTCCGATTGAGGTCAGAAGAGTTGCTGAAAACCGTTGACTTGTCGGAAACACTAAGCCAGTGGCCCCGGCTAATTGATACTCCGGGGATGGTGATATTTTAATTTCCATCAGTTCAGTTCAATTTAATGCAAAATTTAACTATTTGCTACATGTATTGTTTAATAGATTGACCAAGATTTCTCGCCACGACACCCGGGCGTAGGTGAAACTATGCTTCATAAGTGGGCGTCAATTTCTAAGCAAATTTGGAAGTTTGCAAAAAATGCAATACTGGACGTTCCCCGGGAAATTGGAATTATCCATAACATTAGTGACTGGTCTGAAGGTAATTATTATGAAATTATTTGCATTTATACAATGATTTAATTTTGTTAAAATTTGCTCTTCAGTTTTATAAATAATTTGTACGATTTTTTATATTCACAGAACAAATAAATATCGGCTCATTAATTGTTCTTCCGTACTTGTTATCAAAATCTGCGTATACTAAAGGCAGCAAAAAAAGGCGAAAAATAACCGCCGGTCAATCCTCGGAGTTTTTTATTCAGTTTGTGAAAGTAAGTTTACTCTATTCTACTGATAATGTTGTTTCAAAATCGTTCACGGTGAGGTAATTTGCTCCTTGTAAATTTTTGCAGTCAAATGATGATTTAGAAGAATTCCGGATGTCAGAATCATTGAGGAAGCAGCCATTCATTTTATGTGTAGGAAATTTGAAGAATCTTGAAATTCAACAATCCTACATCATGGTGGAAAGGCGCCTAATACTAGCAGAATCTCTGGTCAAAGCAGTGGATATGTGTTTCAAGATATTCCACGTCCTGCAGCTACAATTTCCAGACGAGTGTTCTAGTGTTTGGTGCTTCTTCGACCACTCCGTGTTTCGAATCAAGGAAATTAAGTCGCCCTCATCGTCCGTTTTATCTCTAGCATTTCAAATTAATTTGGAAGATGGAGAACAAGACAATTAACTCGTTTAGCATTAATTTATATAACTCACGTACTTATTTATGTTACAAAGATTAATTTTTCCGCAGTTGTAGAATTCGTGGCAATATTTCATGTCAGTATTAATGAAGCGCTTAAATAATTTATAGTTATTATTAACATAATTAAAAGTATTATTAATTACCTGATTAATGTAAATTGCGATGGGGTAAATATTAGTTAGTAAAAGTACGTTTTAATTATTTAAAAGGCATATTTTAATCAACATTTGGTGTAAACTTTGATCAACAAAGGAATAAATTTAATTAAACCAAAGAGTAAATTCTGGTCATTCATTTTAACAATTTTTAGTTATTTATTGCATGATTTTTAGTTTTTGTTGTGCATTTTTTAGTTTTGAGTTGAGTTAATTTTATGCAACGTATTGGACAAATTTTACTCAATTGTTGTATAAAAGGATTAATCAACAGAGTTGAGTAAAAGTTAACCGATGGTTGTGTCATCCTCCTTTTTCACCAAGGTTGGACAAAATTTTACACAACCTTGGACAAATTTTGTACAATTTTTTCGAGAGTGTACCAAAGTGTAATATTAATTCGCCAATTTTATTGCCACAGTTTGATTCGTCATTTTGCAGTTGTTGTAATTTCGTAACATTAAATAACGAAATTTAAATTGCTTTTCAATACAAGCCAAAAAATTGCACACCTAAATTTTAGTAAATCAGTTATAAAATCTCGTACAAACTAAAAAATGAGACTAACCCCTTACAATATCATGAAGACTAAAATTGTGTTAGCAAAGGGTAATATTAATTCTTCAATTTTATCATCCAATCGGTAAACTACATAATTTGGTAAATAGAAGAGCACGGTAAAACCTAACCTTGTTACAAACCTATTTTACCTTATTTTCCGATCACAAAGTTACACGCCACGGTAACAAGTTTGACAACGCAACAATACAAAAATACGCACCTTTCCCCAAGCACAACTTTCTCTTTTATCTTTTCTTCCCCACTTTCTTTCTCCACCCTCCTTTCACTCGTCATCATCACCTCTCCGAATTATCGGTTTCCTTTTATCTCGGTGTCAGATCTCCGTAAAAGTTGCATAGAGTTTCTATCCCGGATATTGAAGTGAAAGTGAAAGTTGGACGAAGGTGAAGGTGACAAGATCGTGACTGGAAGTGTCCAAAAGAGGCGGAAGGACACGCGGTGTCAATGCCATCATCCCACATTTGTCAATCACACGAGAAAATGGGCCATACAGAAAGGATGTCAAATTACAATTAACGCAGATGTTTGTAAACTGGCAATAAATTTATTATTTCTACGAGGTTAGAAATATTATGAAAAATCAAGTTACAAATGTCGTGTTAACTGAGAATAACATTTTTACATTAATTCCGCACAAACATCTGATACGTGAATTTTCTTCAACGAGATTTACAACATTGTAAAATTTTGATGCCGAGTTGTACATTTCACAATAAACAAGCGTTAATAATTTACACAAGGTCCCCAAACAGTTTACTCTCGCATAGGGTTTCTAAGTTTATTTGGGTGCTGTGGTTCTTCGAATTTTTATAAGGTTTTCGAAGTTTCGATTTTTCCCCCGAGGGTGCAATCCGAAATAATTCTATAATTTTTTAACCACTTTGCTTCTTTAGGAAAATCCCATGAAATTTATTAAACGAAAAACGTATAATTTTGCTGCCGGGTTGTGCATTTCAAAATATATCATCCACCGCCAAGGTACATGTTTTACAATTTTTAAGAAAAATCCCAGGGAACTTGTTATATTTCATAGTTAATTTTAACAAAAATGTGATTTTTTCTTCTCTTAAATTTACGCACGACAATTTGTAAATTCAAGCTTTGAGTTCTCCATACCAAGCATATCACAGGACCCTTTAATCCTTCCTGCCTTCAAAATGACTTCAAAATTAAATATGTTTATCTTAAATTTCAAATTGTTCAAATTTTTGAGTACAAAATAATTTATTTTGAAACATCAAAAAATTACATTGGAAAATTCAAAAAGTTATAAAAATTCGAAGAATCATGGCACCCAAATAAGCTTAAAACACAATACTTATGACCATAGTTTTGGGACCTTGCTAAATTTATTAACACTTATTTATTGTGAAATGCACAACTCCGCATCAAAATTTTGCAATGTTGCAAAATGACGAAATATAGAATGAATTACAAAAAAGCCATTTCATACCGGAAACTTAAATTGTGAAACACACCCCAAAAATGTCGTGGACGACATTAAACTCGAACAATTATTTTTTTAAATAAAATTATTCTCGTCCAAACCATGACACCAATTTATAGCGAACAATACATATAAATTCTCCATTTATTTTTCTCAATAAAAATATTTGCAAGTGATTGGATTGGCTTCATCCTTTCTTTTCTTTATATCTCTGATTTATTTTTTTAACAGTTAGAAATTCTAATTTAGATATAAAAAATTTCTGCAACTAATAAATAAAATTTAGTAATTGTAGAAATTGCTTTCTTCCAAACCCTGCCTCATAATATCAGTGAGTAACAAATATATTCTCTCTTTGACTTTCTCCATGCAAAATATATGACTGGATTGCCTTCATCCTCTCTTCTCTTGTGTATCTTTCTCCTTTCAGCAACCCCCCGCATTTTGACTTTCTCTCCACTCACCCAAAATTGAGTCGACTGCTTTCATCACAGGCCAACCTCATTCATGGTAACGATTGCAAATAAATAAATCAATACGTCACATCGAGGAGTACAAATATCAGAGAAAATTATTTATAGTCGACCTTCTCCATGGGATACCTGACCATGAGTTATTTCTGCTGCTTCAAAAATTCTACAAGGTGGATATTCGGGGTATTCATTACGAGTTGGTAGATTCGGGTCGATACATTTTTTTGCAAACTTTGAAAATTATTATTGATTATGCGAAGTTGTAATAAACTTGGAATAACATTGGCGAGACATTTTGAAAATTGTTTGTATTTTGTTTATTTTCCATACACAGTTAACCCTTTAACGTGTATGATTAACGACAAGAAAATGCATTAAATTGGGGACACAATAAGTATGTTGTGGTCATGGCGCGGGAGGAGAAATTCAGGAATTTTTAATAAAACTCGAAAAACTGAAAAATCAAAAATTTAACATTGACTTGTATAGGGAAATATCCAAATTTTTGGGAAGAAAATGTTCAAATTTAGCTTTGTGTTGGCATAGGAGAAATCCCTCAAAATTTCAACAAATTTTAGGTCGCGGAGAGAAAATGGTGAAAATCAATGACCTCCTAGAAACGACAATTGTCGTCCTTCCGCGCCATGACCACGATTTTTTAGGACGACTTTTGTCGTACTCCCGAATTAAACCATTTCTTATAAAACGACTATTGTCGTCGTTACAGTTTAAAGGGTTAAAAATCTGGTAGAGTCACATGGAAACTGCGTGCCGGTATTGATTTGGTAATAATTTCCTACCGGATTGGTAGTAAATCGTTCCTGACTGGCAAATTTTTCATTACCACAAAGTTACCGGACGGTAATTTCCGTGCCGGTAGAGTCACATGTATACCCCGGTCGGTAATGATTTAATACAGTTTTTAAAAGCATACTCGTGCGTATTTAATGACCCTGTATGTTTAGTTACTTAAATAACCAATAGGTATCAAATGACCATAATTGGTGTAAACATGCAGCAGATTTTTTTTAAATAGTTAGTTTGGAAATTTGTACTGTCCAGCTTTGCATTTGACTGCATAGAAAAACTAATATATCTGGATGTGACATTTTGTCTATTGAAACCTTAAGTTATAATCCATTTGGCGTTATTGTTGTCCAATTTACCGAATTTTACTTAAATAAGTACTCAATTTTCCTTCTGTGCAAAAGATATCTAAAATTGTCATTCATGCACCTTCATGATTAAAATATTTCAAAATTTTCAGCCAAATTTTTCAAGCATTTGTTAAAGTAAACTTTCTCCAAAAAAATCTACCTTTCTATTTTTCATCGCAAACTTCAAATATAAAGTCAAGCATTTTTTCATCCCAACAAAAAGATATTGTTCCACGGAGCAGAAACTTACAGGACGCACAGACGAAATTGACATCTGGTCCGTGGTGTGGCGAAACCCAGTCAACTTTCGCTCTAAACTTTCTCTTCCCTGATCCCGATTGATTTCCCGGCCAGACACAAAATAGGTCTCCTCACAACAATCCCTCAAAACTGCATCCTTGAAAATTTCCTCTATTTCCCAGAAAAAAACTTTCTCCGCAATTTGTCTGCGTCTCTGGTTGGAAATTTTTCCTTTCTTATTTCCAATAATGGTCACAACCAACTGACCACGAGACGAGGAAACCGTACGAGTAAAAATACTTAGGTAGACACAATACAACACATCTTAGTCCCGCACTCGAAATAAGTTGGTAACAAAATTATCGCCGCGTATAGTAAAAAAAATGTGAGGCTCGACTACATTAGTAAAGAATTACCACTGAAAAAGGTAATAATTTCTACGGATCTCAAATTTGACACGTACGTAACGCACGTGTTAGAAATTGAATAAAACGCGGTAACAATTCCGGATATCCTGGGAATTATTGTAGTGGAAAATATTTACCGATGGCACGATACATGGGGTGACAATTTTATGTGTTACCAACTGTTTGAATGTAGTTATTATCAGTCTCAGTAGGAAGGATTTGTTACCCAACGGTAAAATAAACCATTTTATATTAACTGATATTTGTTGACATGTTAATAACAGATTACTTGACTTGACTTGACTTGAAAAATAATCTCCATCAGACTCAAAATGTTTACCTCCGTGTTAGCAATTCAAATCAGAGAGTGTCAAATTTGAGTTTGATGGAAATTGTTGCTATCTTTCGGTGTTAAGTCTTTACCAGCATGGTTGAGCCGCATTTGTCGTGACTACAATATTCGCGGTAAGGATTTTATTACCAACTTCTTTTTGAGTATAAGAATGAAAATACTTAGGTGCACACACAATACAATTCATCTCTGAAGAAAACCTGCCCAACTTTTACGGCAGAATTTATTTCATTGAACGAGAAGAAACGTGGATTGAGAAAGGTGGAGAAAGTTGAGCTGGACGACGGCGGGAAGCAAAGACGAACTTTATTTTTTTAAGCGGTGCAATTTCTCCCTGTCGAATCATGTCATTCTTCTCTCGCTTTGGGAATCCATCAAGTTTGTTGATTCCCGGCTATTCTGGCCAGGCCTATATAAATTTAGAAGATTGTGCGTACCTTCACTTTTTTGTGGGGGAGATAGGATGTTTCCTGGTAGGGCACAAATTTGTGGAGATTTCTTCTACTATTATCTACATAATTACCAGGTTATCTTGTCGATTTTTTTAATAATCGCTACAATGTATTCTTTTGTAATTTGTGGATTATGCATGCTGTCGTTGCTACATTTGTATTTACTTATTTTTTATATGTAAACGACAAAAACCTGTAAATAAAAATTGCATTTTTATAAACATTTTTATCATATTTCGTGACAATTTATTTAAAATGTTATCTTTCATGACACTTCGTCACATTTTTATCCTTTTTGTTTTAAGAAGAAAATCGATGTACTACAGTCAAACGTGATAAAATTTAATGTCCAAGTAAATGATCGCCATTCGCCAAGTTGACAGATTTTGATTCTAGTAATTGCCACAAATTATGATAGTGTCGGAATACCAATTCTATGTTTTTATCATAAAAACAGAAAAAAACGCACCACATTAACGCCAACATTGTAAAAAGTAAAAGCTGAATTATGTTCAAGGTGATCCAGAAGATGCCATCATCCACTCTAATTATTTTCGTTCTTGTGTAGTGAGTGAGAGGACTGATGTCAACGTTCGTACTAACCTTCATAAAACCCACAAAATCTGTAAGTTCTATGTAATTAGATAAATTTAGATATGCAGAAATTTCATTTCGTAACTGGGTAAGACTTGTAAGCGCATAAATTTTGCAAACTTTTACACATGTGAGGAAGCTTTTTGTAACAAAATGTTTCCAATGTAAATTCACGTCAGAGTGTATAAACTTTTAAACCTCACAACTTGGCGTGAAATCACTCACAATGGAACCTTTTTTCAAGCTACACGAGATAAGCTTAGTGACCTATGCTAAAAAATCAAGCTAAAAATTAGAAATGACGTGGTACTTATCCTTCCGTTGAATGGGCACTTGGAGGTCAAATATTTGAGGGCAAAGTTCACAGTAGCGGCCTGTTTTTTTCTCAAGCGGGCGAGCGGAAGAGTGAAAATTTTCTTTTTCGAGGTCACTCCGCTCCCTTCACTCTCGCACGCTCGCACTTCATTCAATACATATTATTTTTGACAAAATCTCATGAATTGCTGCATACATTCATGTAATTTTATATTTCCTATAAATATATATACGCTATATTTTATAAATTATAAGTTATAATTTATTGAACCCATCGTCACTTTTTTATTACGGATCGGTGCCCCAGAAACGTTATAAGGTCACGGCGATATCATCGCGACGAAATTTTGGGGACGTTCTGATGTCGCCAGAATGTCCACTACTGTCGCTTTTGCATCGCACCGATCTCTTCAGCTAGTTACTATTTCGCTCCGCTAGCACATCCTCATCACATCCTCCAAGTAACATCAACGCGATATGCTATGTATCTCACTCTTGGAGATCAGTGGGACTTTACTCGAGGATGTTATAAAGATATCGCATGAACCTCATTCGAAATAACTTAGGGACGTACTAGTGACAATATTAGGATAGTTATTATTTCATTTATTAATTGGTTTTACTAATTGCATGACCAATACATATTTTGCTTAGTGAGCATCAAAAGACTAATAAATTATAACAAATAAGAATTGTTTCATGCTAGTGCTTGGGCTTTTTTGACGCTTCATTCTTTTTAATTCGGTCCGGAGCATGTTGAAACCATGACGAGATTGCTTTCTCAGCTTCTGCCTCGGTCGATGAAAATTTTTTTACCGCGAGGGTGGCGCCTATTTGACCAAATTATATATTAGATACGTAGGTTACCTTGAATCAAATTTAATTATGACATTTAAAAACGACGGGAATTGGCTGCAAAAGACAAGCCTTACCTATTACGATTGAGCATGTTGAGGTGCTAGAAAAATTGAAATTTCCCTTTTGGCCTTTCAAACTAACGTATTCGGCTACATTATCCACCATTAATTTCTTCAGCATTCTTCTTATTGTTTCCCCGCAATCCGCTCCACCGCATTTCATCAAACATCTTTTCTGTATTGAGATAAATAATTCAAATATTTAGTTTATACATAAACTTAACGGACCACGTCAACTTATAAATACATACGTTAAGAATAATACTTCAAAACAAATTGAACGGCTAAAGCTATCCGGTACGTCTTACCAATGAGAGTTTATCGTCCTCGCAAAGGGCTGCATCAAATTCTTTAAATTCCTCAAGGGATTGAAATGGCTGCTGTAAAATTGACGGCTGATCATTATCCGCTGAATCTTGATGGCTCCCGGCTGCAATCAAGTTATCCAATTTACGCTCAATATTGTTGACGGTATATTTGATCATTGATACTTCACGAATTAATTCCTTTACTGCATGGTAAAAAGTAAAATTTTTTAACGTATTATTCTAATCCAATGATTAGAATGTGTTAAATATTTCACCATGCATCAAAATTGAAGCATAATTTGCAGATCCATTTTGCATAGTTTGATTAAGTACCCCAGGTTGTGTAATAGTTGCAGATTTTTCCTGTCCGGTGGAAGCTGCAGAACGGAAATCTCAAATTATAATTTGTAAATAAGTGACAAATATAATTTTAATTATAATATGAAGCTAACAAATTGACGCAACTGCTGCAGAATATGCACCTTGTTCTTGAAGGAAGTCTGTTTCAGCCAGCTGAAACGTTAGATTCCCGTCAGCATCTTAAAAATGTGCATATACATATTTGTGTATAAATATTAGACCAATAATTTTGCATCTAATCTACATCTAAATAACTAACTCACCGAATCCAGTATTATGAAACTCATAATACTAATAATACTCATAATACTCATAATACCATAACAGAAATATTAGATTCTGGAGCAGACACAATTTGACTGGTCGATGAGGTTGGCGGTGGAACTTGGGAAAAAGAATTGTTGAACCTTGGTGGCGCCGGGAGGACAGATTTGTTCATCTCATCATCCGATCCCGCACTATCTGAAGAAGCTGGAAAAATATTAAATTTATAATAATAATTTTTTCTTAGATCGGTTGTAAGTCGGCTATGAATGATGTGATTTAGCTCGTACCTTTGTTTTGTTCATGATCAGTTCGGCTTCTTTTCCCCTGACCTCGTTTTGCCTCATCAGATTCTGCAGACGAAAGGTTAGACTTATCTTCAGCAGGTGATATGTGTTTTCGGGCCGCATCGTATGTCGCTAAAATACAAAAATACACGATTTTCATCAAATGTTACTTGTAAACAATTGGTCGTAATCGTATTAAATATTAAAATATTTACCGTAATCATGCAGGATCCTAGCGGGATACGTTGCCCAAGTTGAATCAGGATTTCGGGATGACTTTATCAATGGAATTGGATTTTTAATTTTATGAGGATATTGTAAGACCCCGTCTTCGAACCATGATCCTGGCACCACTTCGACATAGTTCTTGCTTCCCTCTTTGAAGTCAACAATGAAGAACATCACTGTGAAGTAGGGGAAAAACTGCGATTTCTTTTTCAGCGTATGGATAAGTTTGAACTTTGTACAGTATTTCGCAATAGAAAACTTCCGTTGACACAAATCTCGAAGTGTCAAATTTAAAGATATGAAGTAATGAAGATTTTAAAGGCTCGGTGAAAACGTCGCTAGATTTGTCAAATAACTTTCCAATTACCGTTAATTTTCCATTTTCGCCTGAACAAAACGCTTGAATTTGCAAAAGTTTCAAGTTACTGGTTAAAATAAAACTGTCTCGAATAAAATTGCAATTAATTGAAAATAATTTTGTCCGCAGAACAGCATAATAGTTCACTTTCTCTTCTAAAATGAGTTTGCTTGCAAGTTCACTGTATGGAATTTCCTTCTTTAGCTCAAATGTGGGGCATTTTGAGGATCGCAATTTTACCCCAATTTCTTCCATGCGATTAATTTATTGTTGTAGTGGTTTATTTGGTGTCCGCACTAATTTTTTTAGTTGACCAAGAGCACTTTCAAATTTGAATGCACTGAAAGTGTCCAATGGCCCATACCTCATGCCCATACCATTGAGTCGGCCGCTAGATGAATTAAACTGTGCACGTTAATTGACACTTGATCTTCACCATATAATTTTATGAATCCGGAAACAAAGTAACGCAACAATTGATTTGCATAGTCGTTGTATTTGTCGTAGTGTTCTTTAGAACACAAAACACGGATTGCCACTGTTAAACACATAAATAGATTATAATTATCTCTCGTGAGGACTGATTTTAATACAATTGGACCGCTATAGAGGAGGAATTGGCGAAATTCAGTTATTTCCAATTTCTTATATCCCCTAAAGACCTCGGTTTTCTCACAAATTCAAGCACTGTGTGACTTTTGAAACTTATCAGATGTTTTGAAATTTCCTGCATTTTTGATAACTGGAGTTTTTGTTGATGTGGCTTTCGTTCCACCCACAGAAGTAATATTTTCTTCACGACACCCAGACAAACGGCGTGCATATAGTCAATAGGGAACCAGAGGTCGACGCCGACAAATTTTCGGCGGCGGCGGCTCCAGTTTTTGCTGATTTTTCGGCGGCGTCGGCGGCGCGGCGCGGCGTCGCAATGTTAAAGGAATATGAAATCAAATTTTTCGGCGGCGGCGGCGCGTAAAATGCTATCGGCGTATGGCGGCGCGGCGGCGTGAGATCGGCGGCTTCGACCTCTGTAGGGAACATGTCAACTAAATCGAGTGTTTTTATTTCCGTTAAAGTTGTATCTCCATGATGGTGTCCATCGTCTTTCACGGAATGATTGATTTGTCCTTAAAGTAGAATTCTGATCAGCAAATCACATGCGTTTGTTAATATGACTTTCCTCAACTGTACATTTCTCACACGCGCTGTAGCCATTGTGACCTTTAATATTTTTTATGAAGGCCTTGGCAGGAATGTCACACACAAACGAGTAAATTTTTATTTTATTCTCGTCCAATTGTTGATTAACGTGATTAATAAATGCACTTAAAAAATCTCGACTCAGGCTTCTTATCACCACAATACACTCCAATCACAAAAGGATCATATTCAAGACTAACCAAATGTCCAAACACTGGCCAAAAGTTCAAATTGTTGCTCTCATAAATTGGCAATCCATCGATATTTATTTGGAGGTCAGGAACCACTGATGGAGACAAGCACTGAAGATATGGGCGAATTCCAAAATGTGCATAATTTCCAGGAGGTAATTCGGTAATTTTTATATTAGCACTAATAGGTTTAAGAATGCTTCTGCAGTCATGCGCAATTTTTTCAAAACACTTGTGACGACTTAAAATTTTCAGCAACGCCGTGAACTGACTTTGATTTACAGCGTTACAAAGAGCCCAGGTTTTTAAATCTCTTTCAATATCTTCGACCTCAACTTCACTTATTTCACTTTCTTCTTCTATTCTAAACTGATCGCCGCAAACGTTGAGATCACTAATGTGCTGGTCAAGTTCACTACCAATTCCTGGTTTAATATCTTCGTACCTGGTAATATTTTCTATTCTTACATCGTTGTCTTTATCAACCGGGACATCACTTCGTATTGTTTGTTTGGTATTATCAGTTTTGGGAAGTGTAGCTCTGCTTGCCAATTGCTGCAAGCGCCTCTTACCAACAAAGCATTTTCTCATGATGAAATTGAGTTGAACTAATTTATCGTTGAATCACATACTGTAATTTGGGTCAATGGGCTGTTTAACTATTTAATTCGCTCTTGGGTGGGAAATAGCAAATCCAAGTAAACATGACAAAAAGCAAATGGCGGAAAAAATGCATTAGTGATGTTTTAGGGATGTCTGGAGGATAACTTTTGCAGGGATGCCCTAGCTACCAAGTGAGGATGTTCTGAGGATAGTGTCAGCGATATCTATTGGACAACACCAATTAGTTCACATACATCATCCGATGATCCATGTGAGATGACTTGAGGATATCACTTCAGGATACATCGTGAGGATGTTTATTGCGGATAAAAATAGTAGGTTATATGAAATCGTATTGATATCGCTAATAGATCATATAGAAGATATCTTCCAACCTCTCCTAATGACAAGAATTTGATATCCTAGCGATTGGTAGCGTTTCTGGGGTGGACAGTAGGATTCTAAAAAGCAAATATAAAATTATATGAATGTATGAAGCAATTTACGAGATTGTGAAATTTTGTCAAAAATAATATGCATTGAATGAAAGTGCGAGCGTGAAGGGAGCGGAGTGACCTCGAAAAGAAAATTTTCACTCCTCCGCTCGCCCGCTTGAGAAAAAAACCGGCCGCTACTGTGAACTTTGCCCTCAAATATTTGACCTCCAAGTGCCCATTCAACGGAAAGATAAGTACCACGTCATTTCTAATTTTTAGCTTGATTTTTTAGTATAAGTCACTAAGCTTATCTCGTGTAGCTTGAAAAAAGGTTCCATTGTCAGTAACTTTTGAATTAAGCTAACGTCAAAATCAATAAATTGCAATGCAAATAAACAGAAAGGAAAATAAGATTCCTAGATATTTTTGTCGTAGGAAAAACTGATAAAAACCTAAACACCTGCAACGCCAAATGTTTTAAAATTAAATTTTCAATAAACTTAAGTTCACCCAGATCTAGGCCATGTACGTTGCGTTGAGGGTTGATAAAATTGTTTAGCAAGTTTAAAATAAACTTATTTAGCAAAATGTAGTATACCAAAAGAATGCCAAAGGCTTTAGGAACAACAATAAATCCCTTTGCTGGCTAAATTTTACAAAAAAATCGCCCAAATTTCTTGCAAAATTATTCGCGAAATTTGGCAAATTTCTGTAAAAATTATTATTAAGCTGTGTTTGTTTAAGAATTTGCTAATTTCGCGAAGGTTGTCATGGTTAAAATAAGTGGACCACACTTTCTATGAGTATTTGGAGTTACAGGGTCCGTTGAAACTTTCAAAAAATTGCATGCAACAACTTTTAATCCTACCTTCTGTTCGTACTTCTAACTCACTGCTTCACATCCCCCAAAAAATTAATCTCGTTCCCTTTTCCTCGCCGAAGTATAAACATCAATAACATAAATCCGATTTTCCCCACTTTCTCCTCTTTCTACCCGTTCTTGATGAGGTGAAAGTAGGAAAAATGTGTTTATCCGAATCCGCTCCTAAAATAAAAGTGGACGAGGCGAAATAAAGCGGCAATATTGCTCTCTCTTCTTCTCTCTTTCGTAGTAATGGTGTCGATTCGACTTGACTTTCACTCCCTGCACGAGACCGACCGGAAGGAAGTGATGACTCGACGAAAGAAAGAAAGTAGGAAAACAAAGCCATCAATAAGAACGAGGCGATGGTAAAATATACTCCAAAACTGGACGACGACTGGCTTTACAGAGATTAAGATGAAGTGAACAACGTCGTCCTCAGTGTATGTTTTTGGGCGAAAGTGAAAGTAAGGAAGATGACGACAGGAGTAATCCGTCATGAAAGAGAGGAGGAAATAAATCGCGTAATAATCTACTATTCATAACTTCACGACGACTTTCAGCTTAAAACTAAAGATGCATCAGTGTCTTTGGAATTAAGGCAGGATTTAAGAAAAATTGTGAACAATATATTCCACACCGAAATTAAATTTCGTAGTATCAATTAAGTTAGTTTTTTCTCCAAACAGCGCAAATTTTTATAGTTTCTAGCACAAATATTCGTTGCAATTTTTCTAGGACTTTTCAAGCCAGTTTATTTACAGCAAATTTTCCTTCTGTTTTCTCCCGTGCAATTTTTCCTTCCATTTTTTCCATTACAAAGTCTTCCTACAATATAAAATCTCATTTTCAACATTAAGAAGGAATTTCCCTCTATTTTCACCCTTCCTCGAATTTGGTTTACCTGTTGTCTTAAAAACCAAGCATTTACAAAAATAGACTTTCACCTTTCCCGTCCTATGCACAATTACGATTCGTGTCCACTTCACACTTTACTTCCTCAAGTGCCTCCCAGTTCCAAGTATTTCTCTTTTCTCTCCTCCACGCTTAAGACAAAGCTGTAAGGACATCTTATTATTGGAGCTTTCTCTCCCTAGCAAATCCATAATAATACTCGTATCTCCAACTCCTCCATCCTCCCCACCGACTAACCCGCCAGCCAACCAACTAAGCAAGTAGAGAGATAGAAAATAAGTAAAGCGGATTTACTTTCTCCAGCTGCTGT